CACACACACACAAAAAAAAAAGAAAAAAAAAAGGTGTGGCAGTGTATATTTGATAATATTTCCATGTTCAGGTTGTCGATTCATTCCGATTTTGCTCATCCTACACACACACAGACACAGACCGACATTGCCATGCTTCACCGAATGAGCAAAATGGGATTGAATCTTTCCCTAGAACATGGAAGTATCCACTGCCACAACATGGAAATATATACTGCCAAAAACCGAAAATGTGGCGGTGTATATTTCCATGTTCTAGCAACAGATTCATTCCCATTTTGCTCATCCTATGGATGGAAAACTCTCTCTCTCTCGCGCTCGCACGAGGAAATTTGCATCTGACAGCCACTTAGTCTGTACTTGCGGAAATCTCTCTCTCTCTCTCTCTCTCTCTCTCTCTCTCTCTCTCTCTCTCTCTCTCTCTCTCTCTCTCTCTCTCTCTCTCTCTCTCTCTCTCGACGAAATTTGCATCTGACAGCTACTTAGTCTGTACTTGCGGAAGATTCCTTCTCAGTTTTGCACATTGGCAGGCTGCTCAGTTGATGCACACATGAAACTGTTGAATTGCACAGTGTCATGTGAGTTCAAATAATTCTGATTTCAAAGGATGGATCTGACAGCGTCCTGATGCCTTGGCCGATGGCCCCCCGAATGCTGCGCGTCCCTCATGTTCTAAAACAAAGACCCTCAATGTCGCCTGGGCCAGAAATGGCCATACCTGGGGTGGGGCTGTCTTCATTCACTTTCGGATAAGAAATTCCCATCTTCAATTACCCACCTTTCCCCTGCCGCGGCGGGTTTAATTACTTGTATGTACAACGAAAGGGATGCTTTTTTTTTTTCTTTTTTCTTTTTTTGCTGCTCGTGTTTTCCAGGAATTGTTGCTCCCCACCAATAGATTGGACTCATTGGAGACATCACCCAGGTAGGTCCTCAATCCAGGAGGTGCTCTTATCACCCCTGTGATTCCAGGCCACCACAAAATGTTCAACCAAAAAAAAAAAAAAAAAAAAAAAAAAGAAAGTATGGGGCCGGCGTCCTTTTTCAGGTGCCAATGGAGTTCTGTCTCCCCTCAATGATTGTTGCTACTCATGTGCTGCCTCAGGCACTGAGAGGCTTATAATAAAACTTGAATAATATAATAATAATAATAATAATAATAATAATAATAATAATAATAATAATAATAATGATAAATTTCAACGACCGAGAAAAAGCAGAGAAAATGGTGACATACATAATGAAGAAGCACGGCGTAGTATGTAATGTGAGGGCCTTCCCTGGCTTAGGGCTGCTCCTGCAGGCCTCAGTGCAGCACATGGCCTCACCGGAAACTCCAGGAGCGTGGTCCCACTACAGTCTTCCCCCGAAAACAACGTACGGTCACTATAACTGAATTTAGACGGAAAGATCGACCAAATTCAGCTATAATGACCGTAGGTTGTATTCGGGGGAAGACTATAGCCAGGAGGATGGGATTGAATGCCCAAAGTTGGAAGTGTTTGTGCGCAGGTGCAGGAAATCGACATTGAACTGCTTTTTCTGCATATCTGCGTAAAACACATCCAGATTCAGGCGTTCAATCCGATCCTCTTTGATAGCGGGACCTCGGCCCAGGCCCCAGGGTCCTTTCCAGGGAGACAAGTACTCAAAAAAAGAAGATTTTAAAAAGAATGAAAAACAGAGAGAAAGCCAGAGGTCTACTGAGTCTACTCCTGGTTTTGCAAGGAACATCAATACCACTGCCAGAGAACTGGTGAAGTCCTTTGGGAGGACATCCCTTAAAATTGGAACGGTACAGAGCGCACTGGGAATTGGGCCCGACAGTTAGGAATTACGGAATAAGCGGAGCCCGACGTATCTTTTTCCTCGCATGAATGTTCTCGGTCACGACGGAGAAAACTCTAGGAATTTTGTGAGAATACGGATAGACATAGGACTTTCTTTTCCCGCGTCGACCTTCGCGCGCGGATATGGTGATTTCAGTTTTTGAATTGGCATAGGACATAGGCAAGCTGTAACTGTTTTGGTGCCTTTTCTTTTGTTGTCGGCACCGCGCATGCGAGCTTCCTCCTCCTTATTTCCCGCGTCATTCTTCTCCCACGCTCTCTTCTCTCTCCCTTCCCCCTCCTCTTCTTCTCCCTTCGCAACTGTTTTTCTCTCTCTCTCTCTACTTTTTGCGCACCTGTTTCCCCTTCTTAATCATCTGAATCATGCACCCGTCTCGCGCTGCTTTTCGCGCCTCGTCTCTTCTTGCTCTTCAACCTTGGCTCACGAAGCCCGATTGATCCTCCGATTACCCGGCCTCACCAATCAGATGCGTTGAGTAAAAGGATTTTCCTATTGCGCGACGAATCTGATTGGCCGACCATCGGGTTCTGAACTTCTAAAGGATCGACATGGCTTCCCCTGAGCACCCTTCGCTGAACCTTCCCTCCCTACACCTCGATCTCCCCTCTGACCCCTCCCCCATCTATCTCCTCTCTCGCAATTATAAATTCCGCAAGCGCGCCCGCAAACCTCTCTTACGTTTTCCACTCACAAGCCAGCTTCCGGGAAGCAGTGGCTAGGTGATGCGTTTGGTGCAAGTCGAAAAGTCCTGTCGGGCTGACTGTAGTCTAGCCGGCTGCACGCTAGATCGCCACGACGGACTGTGGGATCCGGGCGAGCCGAGTCGAGTCTACGTCAGCAGGGTGACGATCGCAGCGGTGGAAGTTAGCACGCGACGGCCGGGATCGTCGGTGCGAGTATGAGGATTCGTGATTTGGTTTGAGTGGATGATTGGCCCGGGGCCATATTGGAATTTTACGACGAATGCGCCTTCATGATTGCGGATCATTCTTTCTGGTGCGAGTTCATGGCTGTGAAGCCGAATGCTCTCTTGTTAAACTCTGGTGTCTTCCGTCTCGGCTTTGCTCGTCTATCCCTCCTCTCTCTCTCTGATTTGAATGACGATGTGTTGTGGGCTTGTCTCTCTTGTGAACCGAAGCGAACCCTCGAGAGTTCTCGCGCGAAAGAACTTCTTCCGGAACTCTTCCATTAGTTTCCTGGGTAATCCCCAGATGTCGAGAACTTAATTCTCTTGTCTTGTGAACGGTGGATGCGTGTGTGCAATCCCTCGGTTGATTTATGACTTGTGCACCCTTGTCGTTTTCGCACCTTCCACAGTGGATGTATGCATAGAGATGCTTGTATTTTTGCGTTGATTAGACCCTGAGTTCAACGGGATTTTGTTCGAGAATGCAAGAGTGTTTAGATCGGTCGTTGTGAATACACTGCGCATGCCATCTGCCTTATGCTGCATAACATCCACAGACAACCTGTGAGGCAGCTTCGAAAAAGCTAGGCGCCTCGTGTTTCACTGATCTGGTCTGCTGAAACCAAGTCGCGGGTTGGTCCCTCCCGTGACCAAAGGAAGAAAGATACTAATTAGTCCTTCTTCGATCGTACTTTTTGATGACGTCTCAAGGATTTGTGTAAACTCTGTTTGATTGATTGATATGTGGACTAACGACCGTTCCTCGATTAGGCGCCAACCTTCCGTTTCTCCCTCGCCGACGCGCCCCTTCCCTTACAACGAGGAAAGGACACGTGTATGCGAGTGGGACGTACGGGAAGCTGTCGCACGAATCGGTGGACAATATTACTTCCCTCCCGGAAATCGTTGTTCTGGGTTTGTGGATACGGGCTTTGTCATTATCGATACGCACTTCCCACCCTACTCATTATTGTTGCCATTTAACGAGCTAATCGTCATTTCGTGGACGCAGTGGCGCCCCATTGGCCTCAAACCCTGTGCACGGAGTGCCAGCGTTTCGATTGCTACGAATTGACGGGCTTCCACTACCGGATACGGAGTGAAGACGAGCACAGGGAAAGAGCCACGCGGCTGAGACCATCCACGTCGGACTCGGAATTGGCCAGCGAACGACGTCGGGAATTAATACGGAAACGGGACATGCGGAGTGTACCGAAGCCCTTCTGCTCTAAACGAAGATCCGTAGCGCGGTGGAAAGCTCGACAATACTTTTTGGATTGAATTTGGATTTTTTTTCTTTTCGCGCCGTGCTCGCGCGCGCATTCCGCGACGCGCGAAAGCAACCGACTTACTTCATCGGGCCAACACGGGGGATTTCAGTTCTGTCTGTGTCCCCACACTCAATTTTCCAAAAATCCTTGGCACACCCCATCTTGCTGTCTTTCTGGGCCTTCATTCCGTACCTTTAGCACTCCGAACGAAAGATAGCACAGGGCTTGAGGTTGCGCGTCACATGGCACCCCTGATGAATGAATAGAACGAGACCATACTTGCAACCGCACGAGCCGCACATTCGTGCAGAGTTCTGTACGGAGTTCCGTGCGGGGGGTGCCTGTGAGGAATCGTGCAGGTTTTTTTATTTTTATTATTATTATTTTATTTTTTTTGGGGAGGGGGAACGGGGGGGCGTATGACAGGAAGATGGGGATATGGCAAGGAGAGGGGGATATGGAGAGGAGGACGAGGATGTGGACGAGGAGGACGACGAGGATAGCGAGGACGACGAGGAGGAGGAGTCGAGATGGGGGAGGAGAAGAGATGGACGGAGGGAAAAGAGGAAGGGCAGGAGGAGGAGGACGAGTGGGAGGAGAAGACATGGACGGCGAGGAAGGGGAGGAGACGAGGAAGGGAAGGAGACGAGGAGGCATGGAAGATGAGGAAGTACGAGGAGGAGGAGGAGACAAGGAGGATGAGGAAGGGCAGGAGGAGGAGGCCGAACAGGAGGAGGAGGAGGAGGAGGAGGAGGAGACGAAAAGGAGAAGGGAGGAGGAGACATGGAGGATGAGGAAGGGGAGGAGGAGCAAGGTGAGGCAGTACTCCTGTATTTTTTTTTTCGTCTCGCTTATAATTTTGGTGGGGGGCCTCAAACGCACCGTTTCGACCCCGGCCTTTTTTTTTTTTCTGAGGGGGGTGACGGGTCGTTCTCCGCACACGTCGTGCGCCGCACGGGATCGGTTGGGCGCGTGTGCCGCACGTAGGGAACCGCCCGCACGATGTGCGCTTGCATGTATGAACGAGACCAATGACCATCGAAAAAAGCAAGCCTTAGCTCGAGGGGTTGCCTGTCACCCCTCAGGCTAAGCCTTGCGAACAGATGTTCCGACGGGCTACAGGAAAAGTGTGGTGATCAGGAGAGGGCCCACTCAGTTTCTTTTCCCCTTTCTTTACTCAATCAACCCTAGCAAACCCGGGGTCTGTTGTGTTTGGGAAAAAAAAAAAAAGAAAAAAAAAAAGAGG